ACTTCCACGCATATAAAACAGCAAAATATCCTTCACACTGGGTACTAGGATTCCGGGTGGCCACTGCAGAGAGAAACTACAAATTTCTTAAACAAAAACTGAGGTAATTACAATCTTGTTACCAACGACCAGGAACACTGAAGAAATTTCATGGGAAATTCAAAGTTTCATGCCACGAAATTGGGCAGACTTATCTAATATTAATAAAGAATAGACTAAGACGGGTTTCATTTTTATCGGTTGTAATGCCTGTCATAGAGTTGCAGCATATTCATGTGTTGCAAATATGACTGAGGAGGAGAAAGGTTAGAAAGCAAAGTGTTAGCATGTAAAATTATTTGCATTCAGATATTCAAAATTTGTTTATCTATCTATGATTCTACGGCCCTTTATTGGGCCCTGGCCTCTTCTTCAGCTCCGTAATCTTTTTTACACAGTCGGTAGGACTCCTTGGACGGGGGATCAGCCCATCGCAAGGCCCCTACCTACACACAGAGCAACACAAAGACGGAATAAACGCAGAGAGACATCCATGACTCAAGGGAGATTCTAACCCACGATCCCAGTGTACCAGGGGTCGAAGACGGTTCATGCCTTAGACCACGTGGCTACTGTGATTGATCGGTCTTCCCAACTTGTACTGACATAAATAATTGTACAATTGAATTGTTTGGATGATTCTTTCTCATGTCAAAGTGAAACGATTCAACCTTTGGGAATAAAATAATTAACTTATCTTTAAAAATTGAAAGATTATGGGATAAGCCTGGGAAAACTGTCTCAGAGAAAGAAGACAAATTTATGCAGGGTCTCATATACGTGAAACATGGTGCTGAATTTATGAACCTATTCCATATAAAATAGACTATATATGTTCCTGGCCGGTCACGGTAGCCGAACGGTCTAAGGCGTGCTCTGTCTTCGCTCGCTCGGAAGCCGGGATCGTGGATTCGAATCCCACTCAGGGCATGGATGTTTGTGTGCGTTTTTCTGTGTTTGTGTACAGGTAGAGGCCTTGCGACGAGCTGATCACCCGCCGAAGGAGTCCTACCTTATGTGTAAGATCTAGAAAAACCGAAGTGAACGGAGAAGTTCATGGAGGTAGGCCTAGGCCCACTGGGGNGGGGGGGGGGGGGGGGGAATATATATGTTCCTGAAGACAACCATCTACCGGGATGCGACGTCGTGTAGTCTGCTAAACTTATAGTGACGGTTGTCCAACGCTTCGGTAAATGTATGCCAGACTATATGACGTCACATCCCAGAGGGCAGCAACCTTCACAGTCCCAGCCGTGTCTAAGTAAAATCTCACATAGAATTACGAAAGATATATAATGTGTACACAACAGCAATTGTGAAAGAGACATTCTTTTTATTAGCTGTTGGCGGTAACGCTACATGTTTCGACCCTTTTCTTGGGTTATCTTCAGGCGTACAAGAAATAGGTACTAGTTCTTGAATTGTGTTATTAATTAATATGAATTCATATTGTGTTTTATGAATATTTATGCTAACAAATATAATTTAATTTAAATGTATTTCACATATAGTTTAAAATTTCCTTTTAAAATCCGGCTTTAAGAAGAAAAAAATTAAAATTAAATTTCAAATAATGATAAAGATATCAATAACTTATAAATCTTGTTTAAGAATTTGTGACTTCTATACATCCGTAGAAGTGTTGTTTAGTTGTTTCACTATCACTATTAATATCATTATAAATTTATTGTTGTATAGACTGTTCTATTATATATATTTCATGTGAAACACAACAGGATGCATACCATAAAAACTCACATAGAATCACTATCATTATGAATGTAGTATAGGCAGATCTTTAGGAAGAAATTTAAAAAATAACAGAAGTGTATTTTTATTCTTTTATTAAATCTGAAGGGGAGGGGAGGGAGTGAGAGAGACAAACAGGTAGAACAACTTTTATACGTACTCCCCCAACTTCCACAAACATTTGTTTCATGAACCCGAAAGCGTTTTTGGTGCTGTCTGAGAAGAATATTTTTAGTTGCTGCAGTAGCCAAAAAATCACCATCGCTGGTAAGTGTTAAAATCAACATTCATGTAGATCTCTTTCTGAGTCCTGCAAAATATTCAAATTTTGATAATATTTAGCCCAAAAATCGAATCACAATATACTGATTTTTAATGGAGCAATCGGCAAGCAGAATCAGATATAAACTATGGCTGGTAGGAAACACATACCCTCAACCGAAATTATGTTTACATTTGTCGTAGTATAGGATATAATACAATGAAATCGGGAGCATTTTCAGACGTTTTAGAAGTTAATTTACCTTTCGAACTGACCTCGTACTTTCAGTATGTTCCTTAATACAACATGCATAGACGTCAAAAATCTATACTCTATATACATCTATTTATAATCTACATACATGAAGACAGGAAAGACATATGTCACGCTGAATAACAATGATATAAAGGCACACATATTCCGTGTGTGTATTTGTGTAATGGTTCCCGTGTTTTGAAAAGTAACTCTACGACAAAGAATTATTCTAACACACACTTCGATACAAAGACAGAGAGAAGATACATGTAGTTCATCTGGATATTAAAAAGAGTCATTCTGTGGAAACGAAAATAAAAACGTGACATGGGATTACACGATTTATGCTGTTTCAGTAATTAAGACGTGTAAGCGAAGGAGGCGTTTTATATTACTCAAAACCGTTGAGAATTATAAATATATGTACACATCAGCCTACATTATACCTTACAGACAAATTATACATTTGAAAAAACACAACTCTAGTGAATCTGCCTGTTAAGTTATACATCGGTATTCTACTGTAACAACAAAATGTATTTAATAAAATTGAAATCAGTTTGTAACTTAGACAAAATTCTGATTCAATATGTCTATGGCTTTACAGCCCTTGTGGATCTCTCCGCGTTTTAAGTTTCTTAAGCTATACACAGTCTGTAGGACTCCTTGGACGGGGGATCAGCCCTTCGTAAGGCCCTTACCTACACAAAGAACAACACAAAAACAGACATCAATGCCTCTAGTGTGAATCGAACCCACGACCCCAGTGTTCGAGCGTACGATGAGGGTTCATACCTCAGACCGCGCGACCACTGTGATCAGACAAAACTATGATTGATTTTCGGATAATTTAAGATTTTCATGTGTACGGCACCTTATGTTAACGATATTCTGACTTATGTAGACCTGAGGATTTGTGGAATTGTACTCTTTTCTTGGTGTAAAGGTAATCCCTGGACATTATCAACTATTTGGAGCAATTTTCTTTAACATTCCAAACAGACTAATATATTTTCTCTCCCTCTTTGTGTTATGCCTGAAAGGGCCGCGCCATGGCTCAAGCCGTTAGTCGCTGGCTTCCCACCGCTGGCGGCCCGGGTTCGATCCGGGTCTGGTCAAGTGGGATTTGTGGTGGACAAAGTGGCGCTGGGGCAGATTTTCTCCGAGTACTTCGGTTTCCCCTGCCAATCTTCATTCCACCAATAGCTCCACAATCACCTTCACCTATCATCTGGGGCTGGTACAATAGGCCAGAAGTGGCCGCAGTACAAGGGACTTAGACCCACCCCATTAGCAATAAAAAGGCACCTTCTGAAACGTTGTAGAGAGAGTCTCTACTATAAATAAAATACAATATTAAAAGAACTGTCTAAAATCAAAGTAATAAGGTATTTTAGAAGCACTTGTTTCTAAAATATGCTTATTGACGAGCTATAGGCCTTTTCTATTTCACACAGAATACATCCGAAATGCACAAAAGGACGACGACATAGCGAATTTCACTTTATTTAACCTTCGAATTGCGAATATCTTATTTATAATTTCAAAGTATAAGTCCTTCCTCAAGAAGTCATCTATGGAAGAAACAAAGTATACTGCAACTCATTAACACACCAAGAGGGCGAGATTTTGCAGTAGTAGAAAATTAGTCATGCATCTGTATTTCAAGGATGTTCCCAGTTACTGACTACAGATCCAGAGGTCCCGGTTTCGATTTCCGACGCTACCAGATTGTCTGAGAAATAGGGGGTCTGTAACGGGATCCACTCAGCCTCGTGAGGATAACTGAGGAGCTACTTGAATGGAAAAGTAGCGACTCCGGTCTAGAAAATCGAAATTGACGGCCGTGTAGATGCGTTGCGCTGACCACGCGACACCCTCTATCCGCTAAAGTTGACACTAACTTCGCCGACAAGCGGCGGTCGCTCGGTCAGTCGGTATAGTTTGCTTGCGAACTAAAACCATGAAGTTTTAAAGACTAAGAAACCAACATTTCAGTGCAGTTAATTTTAATTGCACCCAAGACATTTTAGATAAACGGAAAATTGTTTCAAACAGTTAAACGATCATGGAAGTTAAAAGACCAGCAAGATAAGTTTTATAAACTGCGTGGATTGAATTCCAACTTTATCTAGGCAGTAATTCAAATTAAATATAAAAATTAGATGTGGTGAAGGCAACAATCCCATATAAAGATTAACTGCAGTGTCGTAATAATAAGGTGAATGTTCGGAAAAAATTTATAATTATGAGTTACAGAGACAACCGTAATAATCATTTAACAACTTCACGTTTAAAGAAAATACGAATTGCATCAACTACGTCCTATGTTTTTGTATATTCCAAGTGCACAGGCACTCATAGAAATATTCTTTAGTCAGATTATCTCCAGTATCTGTGGGAAATGTGGTATTCCGAAACATCTTATTGTATTCAATATCTTCAAGGAATGTTGTACTATGTAATTTATATTATCATATATCAACAATTAACTGCTGAATATGTACTTAGATATGTGCTTAATAAATGGGGCCTAAGCAGAATTCCATCTAATCGTTGAAATATGAACGAGATTAACGTCATTCAGATCAGGGTGTGATATGAAACTAGTGTTGTCAAGTGCACGTGTCCTTCCAGAAGTTCATATAAAAGGAGCGACACTGCTACATCATCCTCTATAGGTAAGGGTGCCAACTACCGCGTGGGAACCTACTGCTCAAAATGGGGACTACTAGTGAGAAATCGGAGAAAAATACTGATGTTACAGAAAAAGACAAGGTGTTCTATGATCCCATGGCGGTCACATGGTTGGACAAATACAGCAGCACTTTGGACACGATTTGGACAAATTTACCTAAGAACATTAGACCTATAATTGTAGGGTTGGCTGTCTTCACATTTGGTGCCACAATCAGAGGTAAGTTTATTCTATACTTGAGAAATAGATCAAAAGCCGAAGTTGTAGGCGTGTTTTTGAAAGAAAACATCAAAGTACGAGTATATAACAAATACAATTTTTCAAAATTAGAATTATAATTTGCAAAATCAAAAATTAAAATGGCGTCAGAATTGATGTTCGTAATCGAAATAGGAGGAGAAAATTTTAGGAAACATCTGTAATTATTCGGTTTAAAAGCTGATATCGTCTCGTATACTTCGCAAATCAATATATAAAACACTCAGTTTAATGTAAGATTTGAGGTTTTCACGGCTGTGACTATGAAGAAAGCTGTCTTCCGGGATGTGGCGCCGTGTAGATATTGTGTTAACCGACGTTTCGGAGGAACGTATCGCCTCCACGAACAGTTAGCTTCACAGTCAAACTATATTATCACTCTCAAAGAAACTTCCGAAGTCATACCCACTGGACAGTAGTTTGGGTGAGCCTTACAGCAGGCCTGTACGCGGTAGCGAATAGATAAATTTTGTCGGGGAAAGAACCTTGGTGGTACAACCCACAACCAATGACTTTAGTACGTAAAATCTCTCATATGCCTGTCACGGTAGCTGAGCGGTCTAAGGCATGTACTGTCTTCGCTCGCTTGGAAACCGGGATAGTGGGTTCGAATCCCACTCAGAGCGTGGATGTTTAGTTTGTGTGTGTGCGTTTTTCTGTGTTTGTGTACAGGCAGAGGCCTTGCGACGAGCTGATCATCCGCCCAAGGAGTCCTACCGAACGTGTAATATCGAAAAAAACCGAAGTGAACAAAGAAGTTCATGGAGGTAGGCCTAGGTCCNGTTTTGTGGAAAAGGGGGGGGGGGGGAGAATCTCTCATATAATTGATACATCAGGTAGTCTAGGCAGCGATTTCAATATAAATATATACTCGCTTTGAACAACATTTACAGATTAAAATTAAATTAAAATAAAATTCTCTCTGTGCCTAATTAAGTAAGCACTATGCCATGACGACACACGAGGGAGTGGGGGTATAGCGGCACTAGATGGAGGTGGGTGATCAGCTTCACGCTCCGGCCGCGTTACCCCAACTACCTATTGGATACATAGCTGGATGCGCCCTAGGTACCGTCTGGACGCTGTGGAGAAAAGAAATATCTTACCCCAGCCGGGAATCGAAACCCGGCTCTTCAGTCCACGAGTCTATTTTCTGATAGATGACAACAGAATTTTACAGTTCTTTTAATATTCATAACTGAGTACCGAGGCAGTATAAGTACACTACGTTTGAGCTTGTCACACCTAATTTCTCTCGAATTGGCATCCATGATCTTATGACGCATTTCTCAAATATCCTCTGAATAAACGTGCTGATATCTCAATAACGAACGATCAAAATGCATTAATGGTGGATTTTGGGAAAGATGGAATTTGAAATAAAAAATACACATGCATATAGATCATTAATTTTGCCTAATAAAAATATTGGCGACTATTCTCACTGTGTTATCCAAATGTCACAACGTTCATGCTTGGGAAGCAAATTTTTAAATAAACTCGCCTTTGCCGGTGTTAGGAATGAAGGGTTAGTAAATTTACTCACACGTTCCACAGAAATAACAGAGTAAACAAAATATAAACGGAGCACAACACATTCTTCTTTTCATTTTCACGACGATTATATTATTTATTAGCTAGCCATTAGATCACTTATCCAGACGTTGTATTCACCTGTCAGCAACTGAAACCAGTTCATCTTTGCATCTCTTTCTGCACGAAGTGAGAGTTTAGACAATGGGTAAATTTACCGGCAGCATCATTTATTCTATTAGGTTGGCTACAATTTTATTACTGACAGTGTTCGGGGAGACATAATTTATGTGACAAGGAATTGATCATGATAAGAAGTGAATTGTCGGTCACGGTAGCCGAGATGTCTAAGGCATGTACTCTCTTCGCTCGCTTGGAAACCGGGATCGTGGGTTCGAATCCCACTCAGGGCATGGATGTTTAGTTTGTGTGTGTGCGTTTTTCTGTGTTGTGTACAGGTAGAGGCCTTGCGACGAGCTGATCACCCGCCCAAGGAGTCGTACCGAATGTGTAAGATCTAGAAAAACCGAAGTGAACGGAGAAGATCATGGAGGTAGGCCTAGGCTCACTGGGGCTGTAGTGCCAAGGGAAAAAAAAGAAGAAATTTATATTAATTAATTTACAGCTATATTAATCAGAATAGAGAGATCATGTAAAACTATATTTGACAGCATCCATAAAAATGTAAAAAGTGCTCTGTTTAACTAATTAAGCACTACTCCATGAAAACATAGGGCGGAGTGTATATACGTATATGCATCCACTTATTTTCGACCTCAGCATTAGTTCGAGGTGAGTAGTCAGCGCACGCCCCAGGCCGCTTTACACCCAGTGAAAGGGTTCCCTCTACCTACTCGTATTACTAAGGAGGCTAGATGGGTCCCGTAACCGTTCTGCACTATGCAGAAGGAAGACAAATCTTAACCCTACCGGGGCTCCAACTCCGATTTTTTGGCCGTCCAGCCCGTAGTCAGTCGCCGTACCGACTGCCCTTTCCCAGCTCCTGGTAACATCTATAGAATAAGATATTACATGACTTCCTGACTTACACGTACATGACACGGTAATACGAAGACATAGCAATGACGAAGGTTTTAAACACTTGTCGCAATGACTGGAGTGCAATTGTATACTGAACACCTGGCACAGCTACTTGAGCAAAGTATAATCCTTACATTGGTAATTAATCAATAATCGAGGAAAACAGTACACTTGTACTGAATAAACGAAGACTCTTATCGAACTGATAAGGCAACCAGGTGTTGGAGATCACGGACGTCAAGACAGGTGTTGATGATTAAGACAAAATTTACCAGTGCGACCACGTTCGTATCCAGTATTAATATAGGCTGTTCACTCTGATCTCCATTATGCACATTGGCTATAGGAAATAAATTCTAAAAGATTATTAAAAATATAAAATTAATTTAGTCACTGCATTGTACGATATCCTGTTTGATATACTGCTGTACCATACACCAGGATAACGTAGTCGGTATAGCAACTGCCTACGGGTTGGGCGACCGAGAAGTCAGAGTTCGAGTCCCGGTAAGGTCAAGAATTTTCTCTTCTCCTTTTCTTCCAGACCGGATCAGGGGCCCACCCAGCCTCCTATCCTCTACCTCGGGGGGCAAAGCGGCAGGAGCGTGAAGCTGACTGCTCACCTCCAGCTAGTGCCGAGGTCAAGAAAATGTGGATCTATACATCTACTCCCCCATACACCTTCATGGTGTAGTGCACAGTGGTGTAGTCGTTGAGCACAGGGACACCTTTAACTTTTTGCTTTACCTTTACCTTACACAAACATCTGTTTTGTTGGTTCCATTTGATTAATTATAATGCAAAAGGCTCCTGTGTTCTGGAATATAACACGTATACTCTGCAGAATGTCAACAGACTTTTCGAAGGTACATATTTCTCCATCTTCAGAGCTGAAGAGTAAGCCACGTAAGAAAACAGCATGAAGCAGGAAACAAACATAGGCTTTTCGGCGAATTACGTTGTGTTTTATCCCACAAGATCATAACCATCAAGGTGAGAACCTCAAATCCTACAATTGCAACTTAGATTAAGAGGAAACTATAAAGACATTAGTAATGCACGCTAATTCTACACAAAAACAAATAATCGAAGAGATGGGTCGACAAACCTAAGGAGATCTGTTGTAAAATACGTCACCCGGTCTTTGTCATAAATGCTTGCCATGCAGATGCTTAACAACCAATATGCTCACCGCCACTATGACAAATCGTTGCGGTCAAATGAGTGGCTGTTCTGCTTTGTATTCAGGAGATCCGGATTCAATCTCCGACTCGAAGACTGGCTTTTCTCATTGAGATTATTCGTGGATTTTCTCAGGCACTCTAGGCAGATACAGGGACAGTACCTCATATTAGGCCAATACAGTATCCTTCCACATCCTTTCCAATTCACTGTTATCGCTATTACCTGAGCCCTTAACAACGACTTTAAATAAATATACAATAAAAATAAATAAATAAAATTCTGCTTGCTGATTCCTGGAAACTTGCTTGGTCTCACATTCTGTCCTCTAGACGGAGGCAGTAAGTTCACATGGAACGTCGTTGAACTTCTACCAGACTACACGGTGTAATATTTCAGAAGGCAGTAGTCTTCAAATTTTACTACAGTTTTCCAACATTAAATGCTATGGAAATCCTAGTAAAGGTTCTCATGTTGTTTTATGCTTACAGAGAGACGCAGAAACGAACAGAAATAAAGAAGGGGGGGGTTGTAATAGCCACCCTGTAGGGTGGAGAACGCGACTAAGGATGCATGTCATTGACCAATCACAGAATTTTTTAAAATAAATTATATGTGTACTCAGTGAATTAGAAGAACAAAGAATATGTTGAAAGCAAAGTTAAACGTTATTAAACTTACCTTATCTATTTTCTCATATTATCTAAAACTACACAGAAAGAATTTCTACAGTTTATACATTTCAATTGCTGTGAATACATTTATTGGACCAAAGATAAATAGTAAACGTAACGAAAGAAATAAATGCATACGCCCTTAAATATATCTTCTTGCGACAGCACTATCTAGCGAAATGTTTAATATAAATATCGTTTCTCTTCTTTTTAGGTTTATTCCTTGCAAATTTTCTCTATGTAAACGTTTATCGGTCCATTTTTAATTAATTACCCCACACAGATTCATGAACACGGAATTCACTCTGGACCAAACTTAAAGAGCGAGAAGGGGTGTGAAATTTTTCAATAAGTTGTAAATATACTGTTTTGTGAATAATGATTACTTTTCTATCATTATCTCGAATATCAGAGCTGTTAGAATAATTTTCCTTATGTGATTAGATCACGAACTTCGGATGTGAGAAATATTCTCTAAAAACTGAACACCACTGAATTATTGGCCATTCGTCTCAGAGAAAAAAAATCCTTTGTAGGCTTTTAGGCTCTCATACCGGTGGTTATAAAGAGTTCTCTCTTCTAGGATATAACGTCGTGTAGTTTGTTGAAAGCCAACGATGTTTCAGAGCTCTGCTTGTTGCCTACTTTCGCGCTGGTCTCTTGCTTGGATTATTCTTCAACCCTGAAGACAGAGGCGACATGTTCGTCCTAAACGTCAGCTGACTACAGCCATGTACTACATGGCGTTATATCCAAGAAGATGAAAGTGACTAACTGCAGGGAGTTGAGTGCTTGTTGAGAATCTGCCAATTGCACAGCTACTCAAAGATTTCCTAGCACATTTTGGAACCAAAATATTCATTAATGTTCACAAGAGCCCACCACTTGTCCCTATCCTGAGCAAGATCAATCCCATAAGATAGACGCAACTGTTAAAAATTTCCATAATCGAAAAACGTTATTTGTTTGTTCAGGTCTCTTCTTACTCATTTAAACGTTCCTCATAATCCACAGTGAATTGTTGTACCATTTGCAGGGGAGTGGCTGTTGATATTTGTGCATCTTGCGAAGTACCTGGGATATAACAAAGGAGAAGCGAATGGCAATGCGACATTTAGTTTGAAAGAGCTCAGTCTGGAGTCTCTCTACCTCAAGGATCTGCAGTATTACTGGATAAGTGCAACGATAGTCTCGTATGGTGCATACTTCATAATTGGCGGTTTCCTCCATGTGAGTTGTGAATTTATTTTGGTACAAATACTATGCTCTTATGGCATATAAGATATCATTTAATTATTGGTTTTTCATAAACTGTATAATTTTTTTTCCATATAACTGAAACCTAACATTTTGAAGGGAAGAGAAGAACTGCAACTGAAAGTGTCTGCAGAGAGTATTTGTACTTAAGAGGGGCGAACAGAGAACGTAATGGAAAGAATTATAAAACGAGAAATCTTGCTTTCGCAATAATTATTTGGCACTGTAAGTCGGAGAGAAAAGGCTGCGCCATAGCTCAAGCGGTTAGTCGCTGGCTTCCCACCGCAGCGGCCCGGGTTCGATCCTTGGTCTGGTCAAGTAGGATTTGTGGTGGACAAATTGGCGCTGAGGCAGGTTTTATCCGAGTACTTCGGTTTCCCCTACCCATATTCATTCCACTAAATTCTTCATCATCATAATCACAATAGGCCAATCAGTGGCCGTCGTGCCGAGTGGACCCAGCTGGACGCCACCCCCACTAAGCGAATTAAAAAGAAAGCCGGAGAGAAAACAAACTTTACTCTGGGTTTCGAAAAAAGGTTAAGTTATAGCATAAGAAAAATTATGAGGGAGTGCAAGGAGAGGACTGAAGAAGATTGTCAAAAGAAAAATATTCTCAGGCACTCCCTCCCAAACATACACATTCCAAAAGGTATATGATATCAGTGATATCTCGGGTACAGTAGCTGTGAATATTTGGAGTGACCGCCATTTTGAAAATATGTAAGGACCGCCTCTGTAGCCTAGTGATCAGAGTTTCTGGCTACAGATCCAGAGATCCCGGGTTCGAATTCCGGCGCTACCAGATTTTCTGACAAGTGGTGAGTCTGGAACGGGGTCCACTCAGCCCCATGAGGATAACTGAGGAGCTATTTCAATGAAAAAGCGACTCTGGTCTATAAAACCGAGATTAACGGCCGTGGGGATCCGTTGCGCTGACCACGCGACACTGTTTAAACGCAAAATTTGGCACTAACTTAGTTGACAAGCGGCCGTCGCTCGGTCGCTATAGTTCGCTTGCGGACTAGAGGCCACGGAGTTTTTTGTTTTTTGTTGGTGGCTTGATCGGAAATATTTGTTTAAATAAAAGGCAAAAGAACGTACCTGATATAATCAACAATTGAAAATAATTTACCGTACATATAAACAGTGAAGGTTTTTAATAATTTTAAATATGAATATTTAAAGAAATATTACTAATATTTATATGCAACATGACGCAAAAAAGAACAAATGAATAAACAGCACTGAAATTCTTCTTTAATCGGCCTTGTGAAGGGCGATTTCCTGTTTCTTTCACAAGAAAAATTTCGGTGTCATAAATCATGTAAAGTGAAATTAAATTAAATTAAATTCTCCAGTTATTCACGTTCGAACTTAACAGCCCACTGGCCAGTTAAAATCAGGAGTAAAATTAAGTTATAAACATACGTGTAAGAACACAATCGATTTATAACTTTCAAATAATAATAATAATAATAATAATAAT